TGAAGTTCTTGCATAAACGGCTGAATCTTGAATTTCTGATGGTCTCTATGAAGATCTATGATGATGACGGAGTGGATCGGGAAAGAACGAACATCATGATCTTGAGCGAGTTCTGGAAAACGATCACACGCGATTATTGATGGAGGATGATTTCCGGTGAAATTCCGGTGAGATTCGGCCGTAGGAATCACCGCGTGATTTCACCGGTGAGGTTCTAAGGAGTTTGCATGGCCGGCGGTAGGGTTTCCGGTGGGTTTGACCGGTGAAAGCCAGGTGGCACGCATGCGTGTGAGGGTAGTGGTGGTGGAGTCAGAGCAGGATAGGTGTGAGAGAGGGAGAAGGGCGGAGCAACACGTGGCCGAGGGTGGTGAGTGGAAAGAGGGACGCGTGGAAGGAGAGAGGTAGTGGATCTGTGAGCTGGCGAAAATTGGTGAAGTGGCTGAAAAAGAGTGTGCACGCGTGGAAACTCTTTATATATGACACATGGCATCTGCGAATGGACCTGATTTGGGCTTGATTAACTCTGGATAATTGCATAATTGGCCCAATAAGACTCAGATTAATACACTAAACATGATTAATTGGAAATATTAATGACCTAATTAACTAAACTAAATGAGAATTAACCCTAATTAAGTAAACAGAATTAACCCTAAAACCCTAATTAAAATAAAACGAAAATTAAAGTAAAAACCTAATTAAAACCCTGATTAAGACCTAATATCTATTAAAACGAAAAAATCAAACATAAAATCCTAATTAATCAGAAAAATCTAAAAACTATTAAAAAACATTTAAATTTGGAAAAAAAAACAAATAAACTCTAAACAATTAATCCCTATTTATATTTTTTTTTAATTTATTCTATCAATATCTAAAAAAAAACTACTTCTATCAAAAGAAAATAATATCTAAACATCCATTAAAGTCTATTCTATTAAAAGAAAATAACATCTAAATCTCTAAAAAATAAAAGAAAATTTATTTAAACTCTGAAAATTATATAAAAAAACTATTAAATTCAGAAAAAACCATTTAAATGCATTTAAAATCCAGAAAAATGACAGAAAAATCCTAAAAATGCCAGGAAGCCGATTAAATCGAATAAAACCCAATTGCCCAACCGTAGCGGAACCCGGGCACCGATATGGCCTGAAAACACAGGGAACGAACACCAATTCTCAACAGACTTATTATGACCGACCTGTACTGCCTGAAACGCCAGGGGCTCTAATCCCGATAAAAATCAATCTTGATTGAGGAAAATGCCATGTATGCAGTATGCGAATGCGAAATGCGTTGAAACATAAACCAGATATGGGAACCGGTTGGTCAAATTTTAGGGTGCAACAATAACCTAGAGTATTTAGTGTACACCCTTTGGGTGATATGCGACGCATTCGCTCCTAGGTCATAGTCTTTAGTGCAACGTGAATCACAAACCGAATTAATTCACTTCACTAAAAAACAAAAAAAAAAACAAATTTCAAACTTCTTTTTGTCCTTTGGGACCCTTATTAATGGAAAACCTTTTTCATAAAAAAGGAGTGTTGTTAAGCTTTGGTTCTACCGAAAACAGGCATTGTCCCTAACTGCTAGAACGAAGGTTTAACCCTACTCGGGTAACACGTGTCGAACCAACCGGTGTTCTCGTTAGCCTGAACTACGTTTGCTCTGATTTCTCGTACCATACGAGGATACGTAGGTACAAGACGCGATGTCTTGGCGAGCAACCTTCCCCCCGTAGTTAGCCGAACTACGTTGACTCTGACTTTCCCATTGCACGAGGGAATACGTAGGCACAGAGCGGCGATACTCTGCCGAGTCTCTTTTCTTTTCTTTTTTGTCCTGAAGCCTATAGCGTAGATAGTTTAAACACAACCTTTTAGATAGACAACAAGCATGGATCCCGTCGAGTACGACGGACGTGAGGGGTGCTCGTACCTTCCCCTTGCGTAACCGACTCCCGAATCCAGGACTTGGTTGCGATGACCTCGTCTTTTCCCTTTTTCGTTAGGTTTTTCTGATCGTTTCCTTTTCCTCTCTTTGGGATAAATAACGAAAGATGGCGACTATTCTGTTTTTCGCCGGGTGTTTTTCGCAGTTGCGTTAACGGCTACGGTGTTCAAAGGGTGATGGGCCCTAAACCCAAGTGATCCTCTCTCATATTTACACCCATGGATTTTTGTTGCATACTTATTTCCTCTTAACTGTTTTTTTATATATAATGAGATGATGGGCTTTAGAGCCCACATAACTCTCATTTATTTTTTCTTTTTTTTCACATCCATAATTTAATTTTGACCCCTTTTAAGTTTTGTTTTTTCAAGCATTCTAATAAAAGTTTTTATTTGGATTAGGTATTTTTTTTGTCTAAATAGTTCAAAGTTTTAGTGATTTCCTTTTATTTATTTATTTTGGTTTTATTAGTGGTCGATGACAAGACCTCCGAAATTGTTATTGGTCAAATTATCGATAAATAGTGGTTTATCCGAGACCTTTTTTTTTATTTTTCACTTTTCATTTTCTTTCTCATTCTCGATTTTATTACAATTTTCGAATCGATAAAGTCTCTAATTCACAAACGTTAGTTTTCGAGGTTGTTAAATCCTTCATTATTTCAAATCTGTAGAAAATGATCATCTGGATTATTTTTCTATACTTTGGGACCGTGAGAGGTTCCCTTCGATTAATTAACATAAGGTTTGCGATTAAGACGATATTTAACCCTACTTTCAACCACATCTCGATTTTTATTTTATTTTATCGGTCAATGAAGTCTTTACATTCGTAAATGTCGACTTATCGAAGTCGATAATCTTCATTATTTTAAATATGTAAAAAATGATCTTTGGGATCATTTTCCTATACTTTGGGATCGTGAGAGATTACCTTTGATTAATCGACGCGAGTTTATGATTAAGAAGAGATCCCACTCCTTTTGACCAATTTCATTCAATTAATCATTAATTCTTGATTTTATTTTTTGTTCAATATACAATTGCTTTACTTTTCAGTCAAATATACCCTTGATTTATTTTTTGTTAATATATGATTGTTTTTATATTTTTGCACATACTCTTTGATTATATTGTTGTTGATATTATCTCGTTTATTACCTTGCACATCTTACCATCATTGCCCATATTTCATCATGACATATTATTCATATATTGTTCATCTAACCCATTTTATGTTATCTCGTTCAAAAATACCAAAAACACGATAAAACTATCAAAACCCTAAAAATTCTAATTTGGTGGACTGTTGATCATTATCTTGGGCATTGAAGTTTAGACCGTGAACATAAACCTTAGTTTGGTTATTTTTTCCGAACTCTTTTCCAGTTGCTTAGTTTAAGACACCTCGCACACACGCGACTTTCTCTTGGGCTACCTGATAATGAGACCATTTATTTATCGCAATCCCTTGTACTTTATATGTATCCCCCTCCTGTATAATGTAATAGCTTAGTTCTTTTCATGCTTGCTTGCTACTCGTTAAGAAAGATAAAAATGAATTAGGTTAGAACACGTTTTCAAAATAAAGAACAAATGAGGCTTGATCCAACATCAAGTCATTTTCAAACTCATTTCAAATTGGACCACCTTAGGGTTTCTCTTTCTCATTTCACATCTCTTCCATCAAATCACACCAACCTTATATGTATTCAACCCTTGTAAGTCGATTTCTTCGCGCATCGCCATCAACCTACCATGCTCTATTCACCATTCTCTCTTTTCAAAACTTTTTTTCAAAACTTTTCTCTGTGAGTCTAAAAACCTTGGTCTCATACCAAGCGCATTTTCAAAAAATAATTTCCTAATAAAACTTGGATTGTTGCGGAGTGGTTAGGCGAAGGCCTTGTCCTATCCCGAGTGCTTGGCATTACCTTTAGGGTTCACTGTCGTAAATCACTTACCGTTCAAGATCAAAACATCTTTAATAAAGAGAATGAAGTTCTCTTTGTATTGAACTAAAGAGAGAGGATTGAGTGCAGACTTCTTCCTCTTCGAGTTTCAGGATACTTACTGTAAAGTGTGTGGTCTCGATACTCGTCTTTCAATATGAAGACATACTTGTATTCACCACACCACTTTCATAATAAATCTTCGAGATAAAGAATCGAGTACTACCCGCAACCGATTACTATCCGAGGACCTATTTCACCCTAAGAATAACTTTCACAAATCAAACGTGACATCTTGCCTGAATGGCGAAAACTATCTCTTTTCAAAAAGGATATGTTACGTTTGTTATACCACAAATAGATAACGCCTAAGACTCCACAAGAAATTTGCAATACACCTAACTACTAGAATGCACATGTTAGCATCATCCATAAAAACACCAGTTAACCATAGGCCGAACTACGGCTGCTCTGATTCTTTACTTCTTTTAAGTAAAGATACATAGGCACAAGGGCCCCTATCCTTGCCGAGCACTTTTCCATCTTTTATCTATAGTTTCCCGAACTACGTTGACTCTGAATTTCTCATACCCGTTGAGAATACGTAGGCATAGGACCGCGAAGTCCTACTGAGTCTCTTTTCCCCCTTTTATCTCTCTTTTCCCCCTTTTATCTCTCTTTTCCCCCTTTTTATCTTCTCTTTTCCTTATTTTCTAACTTTTCTCTTTCCCCTTCGAACACACTTTATAGCAATACCCTTTAGCAAATACCTTCACACATATGATAAACAAATGGTTCCCATCAAGTACGGTGGATCCGAGAGGTCCTAATACCTTCCCTTCGCATAACTGGCTTCCGAACCTTTCTCTTGGTTGCGAGACCATCTTATCCATTTTCTCCTTGGGGTTTTCTCGACGTTTTCCCTTTCCCCTTATGGGATAAATAAATTTTGATGGCGACTCTTCTATCTTTTCATTTTCGCCTCTCCGTCGTTGCATTTTCGAGTAGCGACAACAAGGAACATCTATACACTCCAAGTCTTCAATAAAACACCTGAATTCCTCCATTTCCCCCCTCCCGCCACCATCACTCAAATTCTTCCTTTCATGCCTACTAGAAACAACGTTAAAGTCCCCCCAATGGCCCAACTTCCCCTATCAAATATACCCTTAACTTCTACCAACTCCTTCCATAACTTTCTCTTCAAAGGAACTTTGCAGGGAGAATAAACATTTATGAAAAAAATATCCTTCCCATTCCACTCAGCATTCAAACCCAGAAACCCCTCTCCTATAAAATTGCAATTCAGTTTGATAGCATTTTTTTCCCACAAAGTAGCAATCCCCTCAGCCACACCCTTCGATCCAAGAACAGACCATTCAACTTCTGAATTGCCCCATATAGAAGAAGAAGCTAAATAATCATCCATAAACTCAAGTTTCGTTTCTTGGATAAAACAAATATCAACATTACATGATTGAATCAAACAAGTTAACCTCTTCCTCTTAACTATACTACCACACCCTATGATGTTAATTGATATAATATTCATAGGTTAACCGTAGAAGCAAGCACCAACTTAGATTTACTAACCTTGTCTCTCTTCTCAAGAAGACTGATCTCTTCCACAAATTCTCTCTTACTCTTGTCGCCACTAATACCAATAGTGTTAATTATCTCCCACACCTTCTTCGAAACTTTATTATCCATCTCTGCCCAGAAACTCTTGTTTCCTTGAGCAACTTTTGAGTCTATGACAGAATGACACCTCGACCTTTTTTACTCCAGGTCCTGACTCTAAAAACGATACAACTTCAAAGAAAAGAGAATATCTTTTTCAATATCCAAATTACCCAATGGAGAGAAAGCCACTATTTCGATATAATTAGACTTCTCCTTAGTTCCCTTCGAGTGACCTAATATAGGAGGGTGAAAAAGGACCAAGATCTATAGAAAAACCTTCGCTCCACCTCAAAACCAAAGGTTGACTTAATGAGATGGAACTCCCCAATGGGCCTCCTTTCTTTCTAGATCTACGGCCCATCCTCTTATCAATGTTTTGGGTCAAAAGATATTTCGAAGGCCCAACAAAAGAGCTAACTAGATTGTCAGCAGGAGCATCAAATGAATCCTTAAAACCAACAACACCCCTGAGTCCCACTCCTAGAGGAGAATTAGAACCAACACCTAGACCCCCACTATCAAGCGACACGTTAGCCTGCCCTTCACCTGAGACCATATGTCCTAAGGCGTTGACCTATGTCCCATCTTTAAACAAGGAATTAGCTAAAACGTCATCTTCTAATCTATCACCAACAAAAGCAGTTTCCCCTTTATTACAACTTACAACACAATTAAGCTTCTCACCTTCTGTCCCTTGAAAACAAAATGCATTGACATTTTCACCCTCGTATCCTTCTCCCTCGGACTCCCTCCAAGTAGAAGAAACTTTCACAAAAGAGGCTTTTGAATCCGTATCCGATTCAAAAGGGATAAAGTTCTTAACAGGTTTGGTTAAGGGACACAAAGTTTCCTCATAGCATTATACTTTACCACTGGACTATATAACTCAATTGCCTTTAATTTCAATAAATTTATATACATTATACACGTTATACAGAAATATAAAATTCAATAAGATAAGCATAATTAACAATTGTAATGTAATGTAATATTAAAATACGATTATATCAATTAATCATTATCGAAAAATTATAATATTGGTAGTCGTGCTCTCATACCAACTATTTATAAAATTGAATATGAATCTTAATATTATAGTTTTCATAGTGCTTTAATTTCTATAAAAACGTATTCATATTTATGATGTAGATTCTTATGTTTAGAACATGTCCACGATAAATAAATTTATTTTTTGATGTTTGAAACAGAAGTTTCGATTATCATTATTTGAGATATTATTAGATTATGAGAAATTGACTCTTTAGTTAAATGGATCAAGGCCAAATTTGTGAATGCAGTCATTTTTCTAATATTCTTTTAAACACTCTCTAAATTATTTAAGAGTCAACACGTAAGAATATTTAGGATAATTCAGTCTATTTAAAATTTACACAAGACAAATAAAAACTAAAATGTAGAAAATGTGAAATCTAGAATTTTTTAGTGAAGAGGACGCACTTTTGTTTTATGTTTTTCTAAATCTATAATGATCAATTTATAGATCATATAATATTGTTTTATAAGGTTATAACTCTTGATGTAACACACATTTTTAACAACATATTTTACTAAATGTTGCAATCTTTTGAATATTGCAATATACTACAACAATTTCGAAGCATTGTCTATTATCGAATTTAAAAACAAACAAAAGTAATATATCATGTCATTATTGAAACACAAAAAGGATTATAAAAAGATTATATATGTAATTAATCTCATCTTTTATATATATATAGAGTTCGAATTTCTCTTTTAGATTAAATATGACATTTTAATAGTGAATACTCTAGTAACAATATTAAACAAATTTTTAGAGCAAAAAATAATTTATTTTAATCACTTGAATTTTATCTAAATAAATTTTAAGATAGTTTTATCAAGTTAATTTCAAATATTTTAATAAAATAGTATGGTTCTGAGAGTATTATAAATAGAAAAGGATAAAGGTATCTTGTAACCCCGATAAATAACTTGAGAAATGCACATTAATTTTAAAAATACTCTTTAGTTATTATTATAAAGAAAAATTAATTTTTTTAAAAAACTTATTGATATCATATATTTACTCTATTTGTTGATCTAATACATCATTTTTCAATAAATTCGAAAAATATATAAGAGTAATAAAGAAAAACCTCTTGAAATATTATGTTATCAACTCTAATGTAAACTCATATTCTTCAAGTTAGTAAATTAAACTCTTACTGTTAAATTGATATTTTATCAAGTGAAAACTATTATTACAATACTAAAAACCGCATATAACTCAAATTAAAAAGAATGAAACAATGCTTTTAAAAATATCCATCACCAAATAGGTGAGGGTATTAGGATGTTGGTTCATTGCTCAAATCATTAAGCCTTTTATTGAACTGTACGATTAAATCGAATAACTCGGTTGAATAAATTAGTATCTATAACAAAACTATATAATTATTAAACCGGTCAAATAAGATAACTATGCTTTTAACAAAATTACGAAATCTACAAAATTTTAGAATATCATAATTTCCCAAATTCATTCTTTAAATTCAAATTTTAAACATTGTCATAACACAAATCAAAATAGTACAAAATACAAACACTATTACAAATAGTATATACTACGACGCTCATTTTACAATGTTTCTTTTAAGTACCGTCGTGACGTCTCTAAAATCAGGTGCCATTATTTTTATTTTTTATATGTTATCACGGTTGGTTAGAGAAATCGTGGTGAAAATTCCTAAAGTTCATGGATTTGATTCTTAACGTCAGTAAATTTGTGGTTTCTTTAATATTATAGTGTCACATTTCATTTTGATTTATTTTTAAATAAAATATAAATCAGATTTCACTACAGTTGATTAATTCAACCGTGGTGATATTAGTTACCTTTTTTATAGTATCGTATATCTTTTGATTTATTTTTAATCTGAAAATAATTCAGATGTTACTTCGGTTGATTAAAGCAAACGTGGTGATATATTTTCTCTTTTATTATTAAATTTTTAAATGGTTAAAAACAATCGTTTTTTATTAAACTTAATTAAATAAATCATATATCATTACGGCTGATTTAATCAACCGTGGTGAAATATTTTATTCAAAAACAAGAAACATAGTTTAATTTGTCATGTTTATTCAGTTGTCATTGTCTTATGAAACATTACACTCATTCAGCGCTAAGAAACCAAACCATTTTTTCATCTCCATTACCAAATGAAACACACATTCATCGTATCGTTTAATCATCAACTCGTTAAATTTTTCTTTACAAAGGAGGAGGAACACGAAGAAAACATCATCATTGTTGTTATTGGCTTAACGTAGAAAGCAACAAAAAACACAGGAAAAATGAAGGAGGAACACAAAGAAACTTACAAGAAAGAATGACAAAACTCACAATGTTAAGCTTTTTTACATCTTCATCACGTTTTCGGTAGATAAATTTATCTCTACCATGAATGTATAGTAAAATATATCAATCTTGAATGTTGTTGTTGTTGTTTATGTTGTTGTTGTCGATGAATGTTTATGTTGTTGTTAAATGTGTATGAGACACATTTATTCAAGGTTAGAAACATATGTTTATGTTTTTGTTGTTCATCTAATCCTATAACATAAAGAGTTGTGGAGCGACACCATATGTTGAATGGAGTTAGAAATAAAAAGCCTGCATTTTGTACGCCTTTAGTAAATGGATTATTTTTTACATTCATTTTCCTATAGTTACATGTGTGATTATATATTCATGAAATGTTTAAATTTGTAGACGGGAAAATACGAAGGAGGGTACAGTTGTAATTTCTGTCATGAAACATATGTTAAACATTGTCTCTGTCGACATTTTTTGTTTTTGGGATCAAGTATATATATTTACAATAACATATTAATATTTCAGTTTGCTATTATTTCAAGTCACGTAATCTTAAAATTTTCTTCAATCTTTTATATAGATGTTTAATGACACTACACCATCTTCATAAGAAGACTTTAAAAACGTTCATATATGTTTGACATTTTGCTTCAATGCGTTTTATAGGCTAGAGGGATTACATTGAGTTTGTAATATATGTTTGTAATATTTTTGGGTTTGATGTAAAATAATAGTTAGGTTTGAATAATATTTTGGTAGTATATTAAAGTCATATTTTGGTTACAAAAATATGTGTATTTGTTGATTCATATTCTATTGTGGTAAAAAAAATATTGTATAAATTACAGGTACTGAAAAATGGGACATATATGAGAATAATAAAAAAAAAAGTATTTCACATGATTGAAATACCATGGTATGATCGAGAATCAAAATCTTGACCTTTATATATATTTCATAATGGTTGAATAAGATTATCGTTGTGATATGCAGTGCACTACCTAATTTTTCATTAATGTCACACGCTTGTGGTGGAATCTAACATACTTATTACCACCTCTATGTTACAGTTGATCAACCGTAATAATATCTTTTTTTAACCATGGTGAACGGTCCTTTTCGTAATAGTGAAATCCAAACAAATTTTAAACAAAATTTAATTGCAATGTAAACTAAATAACAAAATACTAATATATTTAATTTTTAAAATGAAAAGTTGTTTCAAATAAATTTTAAATAAAATCCATTTATACTTTATTACTTTTTGAATAACCAAAATGACATCTTTTTATCTCAAGAAAAAAGAAACAAATATTTAACTAGCTAATTTTCTAAAACCGTCGATTTCCTAATTTTAGGATTTTGGCAAATTCCCATTTGTTTAAGTTAGTTTAATAACTTACTTACTCGATCCAGTAAACACACCAAATAAATTACCCCTTTGATTTCTTGTTCAACCAGTTTAATCACCAATTTAATCTCGTGTTTAAAACACTTAAATAAAATAT